GTGTAGCATCTTCAAAGGCTGCAGAATCTTGTTGTTCAACTTTCCTGCAGCACAGCATCTCTGCAGGGCTTTCCAAACTGCTGCTTGTCATTAGCCTCTCTCGTGGCTTAGCGTGTTCATTTTCATCATGGCTTTCTTTCAGTGGAAAGCTTGTAGATGCGTATCTGCCATCTGCACGGTGTTGATGCCTTGAAGGCCTCAGCTTCGGAGACCCTCTGGCTGCTATTTTCTGAAGCTGGCAGTCTTTGGAGCTGCTTCCTGTTGTTATTTGTAGTTTCTGGAACTGCCAAATCTGCTCTGGATATTGCTTTCCCAGGTTGGGAAAACCTATATGCCTAGACCTAAAACCTATATTCTAAATCTACATTTTTCTGATTAAATCTATGACCTATTTAAACCTACATTCTATATGACTACTTTACAAACCCTAAGTCCTACTCAAGCCTTTACATTTATTTAAACTTACATTCTATAAGTCTACTTTATAAACCTTACCTAAGTCTTACTTACATTCTATAGGACGTTAGAAAACATATTTCTTATACTACCTTAGCAAATATACTTCGTATCTTATTTAAACTTGCATTTATAACTATCATGGCCATTTTTTACTACATGTCTTAAAGAAATTTGGATCTATTCAAACACCTAAAGATTTCTTAATACCTAGAAGAGATTTAGAAAAGATATCTAGGAGAGATTTCTTAACTATTGTCCCTTTCCATATGACAGAACTAACTTAACACTAAAGTAAACATCTATAAGATAATTGCCACATAGAAAAGATTTTTAGCTAAATTATTAACAAGACCAGAAGTATACAAATCATTTAGTCAGCTTTTTGATATTATTCTAAAAGTTTTTGAGAGTTTGAAACAAGATTTGTCAATGGCTCTTTAACACTGGGATTCAGTGAGTACTGTTGCTATGGAGTTGTAACACTTGTTGCTAGGGAGCTATAACATTTTTGGAACAAATGCTGTACTCCCCAAAGTCATCTTTCCCACCAACTTCTCTCAGCCATTCCAGAACTGACAGAGATGTGCTCTCAGTGATAAATGGTTTCTAACCAGAGGGTGTCTCTTTACCCAAATTCATGACAGCTTCCCTGTGCCATAATTCAGACAAATGTTTCTGTTACAGCAGAAAAGGTACTTAAAGCCTCATCTTAGGCTGAGGGTGAAATTCCTGTATTGAACTGCCATATAGCTCTTAGCAAAAATTTCTTGCGCAGTTATTAGACAATATAAGGCACTGTTTCAAACCTGCATTGATACTACCTTTTCCAGAAAGCCTTTCAGGTACACTGGCAAAATTTCCGATTCCCTTTACAGGGTTTCACTTTTGCAAAGGGAGATTTTTCTTTCCTAAGTTTGCTTTAGAATACCTGTGACACATTTAACAGGTGTATCTCTTCAATTAGATCTTTCATCTGACGCTGTTCCTGAGCTTTGCATCTATTTGTCCACAGGCTCAGACTGCGACTAATTGCCTGAGGCAAAGCCCTTGGGTCTTCACTCTGGGTCAGTAAGGCAAACCGAAAGCATTTGTTTCAGAATGGTCCTTTCTCTGATAGAAAAAAAAAGCTTCTCTCCTGGATAGCTCTATATCCTGTCCAGGCCTGGCTCCTTCCCCAGATAGTGTCTCTGACACAGTAGCACAGCCGCAGTTGTGTTTACTGCTTTGCCCAGCAGCCCCTTCCATCAAGGAGGTCTCTGCCTGTCTCTGCATGGGGATTTCTGAGTGCTTTTTCTCCAGGCTTGAAAAGACAGTGCTTAAAAGAGAGGTTTTTGAAAACTCAAACTCTGCCTCCCTCATTGCAGGGAAGATTTTTAAAGCTTGAAAGAAGGACAGACCCTAGAGACGTTTTGCTATTTTCCCTTAGAGTGAATCACAGGTGAATTCCCATACTAATATCTCCAGGTGATTCTTATTTTTGTCCTTTACAGAAAGAAAACTGAAAGTTCTGAAAGGCTTTTTAGAGAAAGATTACATTTTTTAACAAAGCTTTTTAGTTTGAAAGGGAAAGATTTAAGTTTTTCCTAAGATTTCTGTTCTCTAAACTTTTTTGGCTTCATGGCCAGAGAAAACTAGTTCTGAGGGTTAGATGTTGCGCTGCTGGTGGAGCAGAGGACTTTTGTTTCCATCTACACCTGCTGCAGAAAAAAATCTCTTTCCTCTGCTGCTCTTTTAGCATTTTACCTGTCCCCAGGTCAAAAGCTTCCATAGGAATCTTTTTTCTACCCAATAAGCTCAAAGAAGATAGATTTTCTTCTAGCCTTTAAGTTCCAAGAAGATAGATTTTCCCCCACAATTTGCATCCATAGCCCCATAGTTAGGCTTATTTTATCCTACTTTACCCTAAGCTTTTTCCTCCTATATTCCTAACCCAATATTTCTATTATCTACCTTTCTTATAGATAGAAGAGAGGGTCTAATTATAGAGAAATCTAATGCTGCAGTCTTGAAGTATTTTACCACCTACCTTACACATCCAAGAATAAAATACTGTTGCCTTCATTTTTCAATATTTATCAGCATGACCACACTTACATCGGCGCTTCAATCCTTTCCCCAAGTTTTAGGTTTATTTTTTTCTTTTTTATCTTTTTCTTTGTCTCTGTTCAGGCATCATCTGTGGGGGACAAGCCCCCACAATTACTTAACCCAGGGACTCTTGAGGAATGAGGAATAAGAGACTTAGTTAGAAATAGAAGGGAGAGAAACAGAAATGCAGGATAGACTCGACTGGGCCTCCTTATCCAAACAGGCCCAGAACTTTATTCCAAAAGTCTGCTTATAACAATGCCAAGGGAGCAAAAGACATCTCCCTTGCTAGTTACAGTCAAGCATAAGCCCTTACAAATATCTGGTACCCAGGCCTGTTGTCCAATCAACCTCTTATTTCGTCCTGCTGGGTACAGCAACTAGGAAACCTACTGGGTGACAACACTAAGCAGAACAGACAGTAATAAAGTAAATGAAGAGGGTATGCTGGTAATATAAGCTCTGAAAGATTTTGCTCCCATTTAGTGATGTGTTTTCATTTGCAGCTCAGCAAAACCATACCAGCTGACTGCCAATGAGCTTCCTGCTACTCTATGAGGTTCGGAGACTAAAATGTGGGCACGGACCTCCTATCCACAAAAAAAAAAAAAACAAAACAAAACAAAGCAAAAACCATCCAGGATTCCCAAGATCCCTGTAATCTGATCCCTGGCACTCTCCAATAAGCAGAGATACAAAAAAAACCTCACACCTCCTTCTCCTGGCCCACATCTCTCACTTTAGAGCTACCTAGAGTATTGCTGGGTCCTAATGACCACCTTGGGGAAGGGGGTAAGATGGTGCTGCATCAATGACACAGACATCAGGAGTCATGTGAAAGGCAAAGAGCAGAGGCATTTATTCAGTAACAGAGAAAGTCTTATATACCCTCCTTCCAGCATCTAGGCTGTGTCCCATCTGGTGACATGGCCAGGTCATCCCTCATTGGGTAGGCATATTCAGGAACATTGACAGTGCCTGTTGCTAGTCTCTCAGGCACACTCAGCATGATCAGTACTTTGGACAGCACCTGTTGCTAGGTCCTCTTGCAGACTCCAGGTTGGCTCATAACTAAGTACATTATATGCGTGCCTTGATAACTGGTTTGAGCCAATTTTCTAGCTCTGTAGTGTAGCATGAATCTTAAAGAGTCGTATTAATAAAATCAAACCTGGGGCCAGGTATGGGTCAACACTGGAAAATCAGAGGAGCAGAACAAGCCACAGCTACCTCACCTTGCCAGTTCCTCAGCTGATCCTGTTTCTTCAGACTGGAAGCCTCTGAGTCCTTATATCCGAATGGATCTCAGCTAAACTGTTGCTAGAAGCCTAAAAGCTTAACCAGCCAAATGCTTCTAGTTTCTGGTCTTCACACCTTATATATCTTTCTGCCTTCTACCATCACTCCCTGGGATTAAAGGCCTGTATCACCATGCCTGGCTGTTTCCAATGTGGCCTTGAACTCACAGAGATCCAGGAGGATCTTTGTCTCTGGAATGCTAGGATTAAAGGCGTGTGCTACCACTGCCTAACCTCTATGTTTAATATTGTGGCTGTTCTCTTCTCTGACCCCAGATAAGTTTATTGGAGTGCACAATATTTTGTGGAACACAATACCACCATACTGCAGGTCAATCCTACTAGACCAGAGTACCTACCTGTGCTTGTGAGAATCCTTCCATCCTCCCTAAGGTGACCAGAACACCCAAGTATGCAACTCACACCTCCCTTTCTAGCAAGTCTCACTACTCATCCAGGACTCTGCACACATTCTTCTTCTCTCATGGGAACACCCCAAAGCACCAATCACTTTTTGTCTAAGACCCTGTGCCTCCACATCCATGCACATCTTTCCTAAGTATTTCCTCCAACTACAATTCAGTCCATTTACCTCTTTCTGGGTTCATTTTCTACCAATAATTACTTAAAATAATGCAAATCCAGTTGAAGGCCTTGTTCAATCTCTTCTTTTGCCTCTATACTCACAAAACCCACAATTCCCCTACACTGTTCCTGATCCTTAATAGATTTTATCCCACTTCCTTTCCATTCATGACCACAAAAAGCAATGACAGCTGCCTGCCAGGTACCATTGTCTCCTCATACAGCCCAGAGAACCAAGACCAGTCCAATCAACTCAGAAAAATGCTGTGGCACCTCAACCAATGACTTCAGACATGATAGAGAAACTGACATGAAGAGGAAGAATTGAAATAGAGCCTGCATCCCTAACCAGAAAAAGAGTAGAAAAAGATTACAAAAGACATACAAATGCTAGTATGAGTTAGTCCCCTCCAGAATATTATAAATGCCTAAACTGAAATAGGCAAGAAGATTTCAACCAATCATAAAAAGCCAACACACCTCAGAATTGTAAGTTCTAGCACAGAAAAAAAGAGCAACATAAAAAAGTCAGACAATATATCTCTTCCAAAAGTGACTAATCCTATGGTAATGATTTCTAATGAAAATGATCTGGAAGAACTTCTAGGCAAGTAATACAGAAGAATGATTTGAAGCATGTTTGAACAACTTTAAGAAGATATGAGCATGCTTAAAAGAAAAGAAAACAGATGAATAAAAAAGGTGAAGGCATTACAAGGTATGAAAAATAAAATTCAAAAACAAAATCATGGAAGAAAAATCAAAACTGACATGATGCTAAAAATTGAAACCTCAGGAAGCCAAATAAAAACCTCAATGGAAAGCCTCACTAACAGAATGGATCATGTTAAAAACAGATAACTAGAGATGGAAGACAGAGGAGAACACATGGAGCACTCTTTAAGTGTCAAAGATGAACTTAGAAAAATGCAAAAAGGAAGCATAGGAAAGCTTTGAGACATGGTAAATATAAAAACATTGGATTGTGGGTATAGAAGAAGAATACTTTACCAAACCCTTTATATGGCTACTCTATGTTGAAGGATTTCACACCAGAGAAAATGTTTAAATACTATCTTTTCCAATGTAGAAATGGGGTGTTCATTTTCTTAATTTTCAGGTTTAAGACTACATTGAAATAACTGGAAACAGACACTTTAGACAGAGATACACTTTTGCAAACATTTCCTTCTGGTATTTTATTGATCTTTGAATTTTTCTTAGAATTTATTTTCAGGAGCATCTCATGTCATTGGAAGAAGAGGCAACATGATGTTGATCTTTCTACTGTTATGAAGAAACTTCAGTGGATTGTTTTGAATGACTTGAAAAACAAGAAAAGATGAAGCTGATAGTGAAAACACTGGTTTCTCTGATTGTGGAGTACCCCATGTCCTAGTGCCTGAAATTTTTCTGGTCCTGTTCACATGCACTGCCTTTTTCCTTGCTATGGATTTTTAAAATACTTACATTGTCTACATTTCCTTCTATACAGAAAATTCCCTAAGACCTCTATAATTATGTGTCCAACTGAGTCCTGGACATCTCTACTGAGATGTCTAACAGTTATCACCACCATCCAGAGTCTAAGAGTAACCTGGTTTTCCTTCAGACCTGTAATTCCCAAGCAGACATCACCATATCAGATAATGAAAACTGAACATTATATGGTTTACCAAGACATACTATACATTTAAGATATTTGATGTATATTTCACATTGCAATATTTATAACTGCTTCATTTCATGTGTGTAGCCAAATTTCTAACAGGTCTTATTAAATAACAAACACAGCACCAAATATAGGGGTGAAAGCCTTAGAGATCAGGGAAATAGTGAGAGCCACCAGTTAACCTTTACTCACCACACCATAGCTTCCAAAGGAGAGCTAATTCCTCTCTACCTGTGCCTTTATTGCCTTGCTGTTCTGCCCTCATTGCCCCTTAGCCCAGCTACCTCAATTTCTTGTTACTGCCTGTCTGTACATACCTCCATGTCTCTATGGTAGGAACTGGGATTAAAGGCATGTGTCACCATGTTTGGCTCTGTTCCCTAGTGCGACCTTGAACACACAGAGACCCTGCCTGCCAAAGTATTTCATTAAGGACATATATGCTACCATTGCTTGACTTTTGTGTTAATGGCTTGCTATTTTCTCTGATCTCCAGGCAAACTTTATTTATTAACATATAAATAAAATATCATTGCATTTCAGCACACATAAAATAACATTATTGCTGTGGGATGTTCTGTATGGCAAATGTGTTACTCTGATTGGTCAATAAATAAAACACTGGCCACTCTAGCAAATGATGAAGATGGATGTAGGCATCTGATCTAGAGCCAGGACCAGAGAGGAACTCAGGAAGCATATACTCAAGCCCCGGACTTTACAGTAAAACGATGACCCCCACTTACGACGCTCATGACGGAAGCCCCTTGTCACCGACTTCTGCCTGGTTTGGTGACAGTGCCCTGTCGGAAGGCAATCCCGGGATACTTGCCGTCAGTCAGCCGGTAACCTCACCAGAAATACTGGCAAAGATGTTCAAGCCTCAAGCTCTTCTTGATAAAGCAAAAACCAACCAAGGGTGGCTGGATTCCTCGAGATCGCTGATGGAGCAAGATGTGAAGGAGAATGAGGCCTTGCTGCTCCGATTCAAGTACTACAGCTTTTTTGATTTGAACCCAAACTACGATGCTATCAGAATCAATCAGCTTTATGAGCAGGCCAAGTGGGCTCTTCTGCTGGAAGAGATTGAATGCACTGAAGAAGAGATGATGACTTTTGCAGCCTTGCAGTATCATATCAATAAGCTGTCAATCATGACGTCAGAAAACCATTTAAACAACAGTGACAGAGACGTTGATGAAGTTGGCGCTGCCCTTTCTAACCTGGAGATCACTTTGGAAGGCGGGAAAGCATCAACCGTTCTGGTGGGTGACATTACTTCAATTCCAGAACTCGCTGACTATATTAAAGTTTTCAAGCCTAAAAAGCTGACTTTGAAAGGGTACAAGCAGTACTGGTGCACATTCAAAGACATGTCCATCTCCTGCTATAAGAGCCGAGAAGAGTCCAGTGGTACACCTGCTCACCAGATGAACCTCAAAGGATGTGAAGTTACCCCAGATGTAAACATTTCAGGCCAAAAATTCAACATCAAACTCCTAATTCCGGTTGCAGAGGGCATGAACGAAATTTGGCTCCGTTGTGATAGTGAGAAGCAGTATGCGCACTGGATGGCGGCCTGCAGATTAGCTTCCAAAGGCAAGACCATGGCAGACAGCTCTTACAACTTAGAGGTTCAGAACATCCTCTCCTTCCTGAAGATGCAGCATCTGAACCCAGATCCCCAGCTGATCCCAGAGCAGATCACAACCGACATCAACCCCGAGTGTCTGGTGTCCCCTCGCTACCTAAAAAAGTATAAGAACAAACAGATAACAGCAAGAATCTTGGAGGCCCATCAAAATGTAGCCCAGATGAGTATGATTGAAGCCAAGATGAGATTCATTCAAGCGTGGCAGTCTCTGCCTGAGTTCGGCATCACACACTTCATCGCAAGATTTCAAGGCGGCAAGAGAGAAGAACTTATTGGGATTGCATACAACAGGTTGATTCGGATGGACGCCAGCACGGGAGACGCCATCAAAACATGGCGGTTCAGCAACATGAAGCAGTGGACTGTCAACTGGGAGATCAAAATGGTCACGGTGGAGTTCGCAGATGAGGTCCGGCTGTCCTTCATCTGTACTGAAGTAGACTGCAAGGTGGTCCATGAATTCATTGGTGGTTACATATTTCTCTCCACTCGTGCAAAAGACCAGAATGAGAGTTTAGATGAGGAGATGTTCTACAAACTCACCAGCGGTTGGGTGTGAATAGGAGGAGGATGTGATGGAACTCCACGGCCATAACACTATTTAACTTTAAAGCTGTTGTTTCTTACATGCTGCTTAATAAAGTACGCTTGAAATGTACAAAAAATAAATAAATAAATAAATAAATAAATAAATAAATAAATAAATAAATAAAAATAAAACACTGATTGGCCAGTGGCTAGGCAGGAAGTATAGGCAGGACTAACAGAAAGGAGAAAAGAAAGAACAGGAAGGCAGAAGGAGTCATTGCCAGCCGCCACCAGGACAAACTGTATGTGAAGACACCGGTAAGCCACAAGCCACGTGGCAAGATATAGATTTATGGAAATGGGTTAATTTAAGCTATAAGAACAGTTAGCAAGAAGCCTGCCATGGCCATACAGTTTGTAAGCAACATAAGTCTCTGTGTTTACTTGGTTGGGTCTGAGCAGCTGTGAGACTGGCGGGTAAGAAAGATTTGTCCTGACTGTGGGCCAGGCAGGAAAACTCTAGCTACACATCATATTTCTCCTTTTTTGTCTAATAAAATAAAAAATAATAAAAAGTTTATAATATAAGAAAAAATATACAGTAAGTACAATAACTATATACAGGATATACAAGCAATAAATACATCAACAATGTCTAATCCATTTGCATTTGACGTATTCAGAGAAAATATTCCATTATCTATCCTATTTTGGTAAGTCCACAATGTACCTATTTCACTTTCTATCCTAACTTGTATTATCAACAGAAAACTATCCTATGATGTCTTTCAAACTTTTACACTATATACCTCCTTAATGAATTTCTTTTTTGAATTTCTTAACAAGGAAAACTGTAACTACAACTATCTCATCTTCAACTCCCTCGGCGACCCAATAAGGCAATAATATTACCTAGTAAAACAGGAAGTGCAAATAAGTGACTTACAAAAAAATGTGAGTTGACAGAAACAGCCAGCTGCCTGTACAGTCACCCAAGGTTTCTGTGCACATTGGGGCATCATCTTTAGCCTACAGGCTTAGCTTATCTGACAGACTCATTTGTGAAGTAGGGGGTACACATGGCCTAAAGCTCGACCTCACATTCCGTTTGACTATTCCATGTAGCAGATAAACTGGAATTCCTCCAGTGTCCTGTCATAATTCAGGATTTTAAATTCTAGAAATTTCTGGTGTTTTTGGAATTCAGCTGCATATTCTTCTCAGCTTGTAGATGGCTTCTTCTCTTTTAATAAATGCCAGTCTACCATTGAGAGGTTAGATTCCATCAGCCTAGTTACTCTTTCAAGAATAACTGTTCAGCTACTGTTCCACTGCACACCAGGAGCCATCTGTCTGCTCCCTTTTCATCTGCCTTAGAAGAAAAGGGCAGTGTAACATTTCTGGATTGCAAAGCCACTTCAGCAATTGTACCATATTCTCTTGGCCTCAGAGGACACATGTTGTCAAAGCCACAACATCACTTGTGTTGGCAAGGATCAGTAGTCCTTTGTTTTGTGTCCTCTTTGTCCATTTTGGATAGAATACTGTCAGCAGTCAATGTGAGGGCACTTTGTTGCCCAGTGGCTAACTTTTGCCACAGTGAAAGTTAATTCCATATGCAGTTTCTTCAATACCCATATCTTCTCTGAAGTAGATTGATGCTGCCAGGAGCTGACATGTCTCATAGTCATAAAAAAATAAAAAATTCTAAGTTATTAGAACATTTTAAAAGCCATATACTGTGTATATTGCTCTGAATTAATAAAATGCTGATTGGCCAGTAGCCAGGCAGGAAGTATAGGCGAAACAAGCAGAGAAGAGAATTCTGGGAACAGGAAGGCTGAGTCAGGAGATGCCAGCCTGAAGTCCAGGGAGCAACATGTAAAGGCAACAGGTAAATCTACAGAACTCCTGGCAACATATAGATTTCTTACACTGAGTTTAAGTGCAAGAGCTACTCAGTGGTAGGCTTGAGCTAATGGCCAAGCAGTTTAACTAATATAAGCTTCTGGGTGATTATTTTATAAGCAGGTGCAGGGTCTGTGGGGCTGGGCAGGACTGGAGAAAACTTCAGCTACAAATGGTGCTAGAACGTAGGGCAACAGTTTCCACATAAAACCTGAAAAAGCTTTTTTAAAAAGTCTTAAAATGGAGCTAAAAACAGCTTCCTAGTTGTCTCAAGTTAGCAGCAGCCTATGTGCTTGAGCTACTCTATGGCGGGTTCATGGCCTGTGGGCTTGACCTATGCCACATTACACAGAAGTGTCTCCAATGTGCACTATGCTGCATGGTGGATATAGTTGTTGATAGTTTGGGGCTATACATTGCTGGATAGAAGCATAGACACACTGCTTCCCAGAGTCAGCAGTGAGCTTGGCAGTAAACATAGTTCTGCCATGTTGGGAAGCCGAAGCTGCTATTTTAGCCCTTGTAATGCTGCAGTTTAAAGCAATAGGTTCACAATAAGATTCAGATTGAATAGTTTACAATGTGTGTAAAAGTGTATATAGGCTTACAAGAGAGACAAAAAGAAATATATATGGTTATATAAAGAAATAGTTTTAAAAAATGAAGTCTTTAAAGAGAAAGTAAATGTAATATAAAAATAAGCTGTGTAAAGATAGGATATCAAACAGAATTTGGATTGTATTGTCTTCGGAATTTTTAACTCCGGACAGACATTTGATTTAAAAGCTGCTGAGTTAAACCAATATGTATATTTTTAAGGTACCTTGACTTCAAAACTTGGATCTAAGGATATTCTGCTTTGGATAGGAGGCTCTGCTTTTGTTTCCACAGAAAGCAAGAGGCTATGGATTTGTTCCAGATTAAGATACATCAAATTTGACCAGCCAAGACTCCCTGAAAGGTCTCTGATGACACCATGGCCCTTATGATCCAACATTCAGAACAGTTTCAAAGCAACTGGCTCAGACAACACAGCCTCATGGACTACTCCATAATCCTAAAATTTTCTTTATGTCCCCATAAGAATACAGTACCCTCATCCAGCGGGAAGTAGTATGAGAAGCTATGCCCAAATTCCCAAAATATTGTTTATAAATGTTTATTTTTATTTAAAGCAGGTTGATTATAAATTCAATTTCTTTCTAAAGAAGAAAAGGGGATATAGATATGATAGGATAAATAGTAACAACTTGTTTAAAAATGTTTTATATTGTTATATTGCTATGGATTTTAGTTTATTGATACAAATTTAGAACTGATTTTGTATTGATATATATATATTTCTACTTTTGTTTGACGTATTATGTTTATGTAACAAATTTAGATTGTAATGGATAATTTAAAATACAGATTAATAATTAGTCTTCTATGATAGTCAAACTTATAGTCATGTTAAGTTTTCTAGGTATACATAGATATAATTCAATTAGGTAGGTAATCTTCAAACACTTCAAAGACCTACAGGATATAGCATTTAAAATGTTTTAAAAATTTAGACTTTCTGAACAGTGAGACATGTCTGCTCCTGGCAGTAGCGATTTACTTCAGAGAGGAGGATGAACATCAAAGACACTCCATATGGTTTGTCTTCTTCTTGGCAAAAATACCCTTTGACAAGAAACTGTTCTTGCCTGGACTGCTGGAAAAAAATGTATTGACTAGACATGCAGGACCCATAGGAAGGTGACCACTGAACTTTGCTTGACAAATGGTTCTTCAGGTACCGGCTTCACAGATAGAATCAAAGAATTGAGATTAGTGGCAATAGAATAGTACCTTATTTTTTGATTTTCATCTGTCCCATATCAGAAGATGCCAGACATTCTACAGGACAGAGAGAGAAGTGACTGGGAGACTCAAGGTTTGTGGGCTGAAGACAGATGCCCCAACTTTACAGAAAAATTTTGGGTGACTGTCCAGGCTGCTAGCTGTCTCTGTCTATTCTCATAAGGCTCCCAAAAGTTGCTTGCATCCTTCTCCCATTTCTCAGGTAATATTATATCCTTCTGAGGTTTTTGGTGTAGTTGAAGACTAGATAATTATAATTTCCAAAGTCATGATAAAAGATAAGTTAGATAAGAAGCCTTAGACTCATAAATATAGGATAAATAAAATATCTTCTTTAATTTTGCCAAATACAAATAGACTAGATAGACTAGATTGTAACTGTAATTCTTGCTTGATAATTGTTCTGTTATATGTAATTTTACTATGTTAAAGTTAAAACCTTTTTTTTTGAAGAAAAAAGAAAAGAAAAGAGGAAATGTTGTTTATATCTGTCTGTGTAAATAAAATGCTGATTGACCAGTAGCCAGGCAGGAAGTATAGGCAAAACAAGCAGAGAAGAGAATTCTGGGAATAGGAAAGCTGAATCAGGAGACGCCAGCCTGCCATCCAGGGAGCAGCATGTAATGGCACACTGGTAAAGCCATGGACACTTGGCGACATACAGATTAACAGAAATGGGCTGAGTTTAAGTTTAAGAGCTAGTTAGTGGTAGGCCTGAAGTGATGGCTGAACAGTTTAACTAATATAAGCTTCTGGGTGATTATTTTATAAGTGGTTGTGGGGTCCATGGGGCTGGGCAGGACTGGAGAAAACTTCAGCTACAGCCATATTCTGTAGATCTCTGAAGGGTTTGAAGATGACCTGTCTATATAAAATATATCTTTGCTTAACCATGAAAACATACCTCATATGACTACAAGTTCAATTGTAATGTCTAACTACTAACTTTCATTTCTTTATATCCTAATAGTTGGTAATAATAACATTCAATGATTAGCAAATTACATTACATTGTTAAATGAACTGTATAAGTACAATATCCTGAACAAGATTAAAAATATACATACAGCATTTTCTACCAATATCAATCTCAATATATAATTTGTATACAATATATAAAAATTCAATCCAATGTAAAGTATTTAAAACTACTAGTTGTCTTTTAAAAGCAGATTCAATAGCCTACCTTTTTAATATATATCTATATCCTCTCTTTTCAGAGTATATTCAATAATCTACCCTTTATTCTATCATTCCTATAGCTTTTTTTTAGTACATTCAATAATCTACCTCTTATCTATATCCTCTTTATTTTTCAAACAAGAACTTTAAATCTAATCTGCTTTGTTTAGCCTTTTTCCTTACCATTAACA